CTTATATATATATATATATATATTATATGGTATAGATATAAAAGTCTAAGTCGAGTTAATCAATTGGATATCCTCCAGCTGGATTTGGATAAATATTATTTACTTCTGAGCTTTTCAAACTTAAATAAGCAGTTTGATTGATTTGATGTTTATGGTATTTAATCTTAATTTTGATGGAATTGTTGTGCTTTCTACCATTGCAGGGAGGATATCAATATGACTGTCAGGCTTGTTGTAAATTGCAGGGGTATGAAAATTAACAGCGTGAAAGAGTAAGTAATAATTTTATTTTTTTAAGTTGTGCAATTTTTAAATTATATATTTTTTAACAATTTGATTTGGCATTCGTTTAATTCTTTTAGAAGATATCTTATCCTCTCCTACTTGTTCTTTATTCCTTTTGTGTCTGATAAACTTTATTTTTTTTCCTGTTAAAATATAGTTAGTCTTACGTGCTGTTTTGTCTTCAAACAATATTTTAGCATGTTTCTTAAGTCAAAATAATTGTGCTCAGTTTTGCATCTTGCGATTTTACAAATCTGGATGTACTAATATTGAGAAGTTTTTATTTATCCCACCAAGATTTTGCTGAACTTTGTTTGAATTAGAACATGATTTAGATTTTTGAGTGATTTTTGGAACAATTGGATGAAATTTATAAAAGAGCCGGTCTGATGCTCATCTAATGCAGTCTTGCTGGTGCTGCCTCTAATAAAGATATTAGGCATATAACTGATTATAATTATAAAATTATAATGGCAAAGCAACAGGCAACTGATTTTGTTTTATTTTGGTATTCTTGGTTGCAGTGCTTTTGAAAAATCACTACGAGCTAGATTAGTAAAGGTACTCTGCCTCCTTGAAAATGATTTTTTGGTACTTCTACATTGAATTAGTTCTAATTTTATTTCTAACATCCGTGAACCTCAAATTTGGTCAGACAAATCCATCCACGGACTTTGATTGCCTAAGGACATTTGGTTCATTCTTCACGGAGAATATCTCCATACCTTTGGTAAATAATTTATCAATGTTTTTTTTATGCTATACTAAAATCATTAATGGTGTCAGAGTTACATTAGATGTATTGCAATGTTGCAGGGTACAGTAATTGAGTTCAAACGAACAGTTGATGGACGTCTGATCACTAATAGTGAGTAATATTTGTCAACACGCATTAGACCTTTGATACCATGTTTATGCTGTTTGCCTTGGGGTAGACGGGATTAAACTCATTCTTTTTGTCTGTCTTCTCTCTGATGTTTGAACTGAGTTTTCGTTTTACCTGTACAGTTAGTGGCAATCAGATAGGAAGTGTCCACAGCAAAGATTTGTGTCGTAAGTCATGTTCAAACATATGTGCTTGCATTGCACCTACTCGAGTTTCTGTATTTGTTTTGTCTAGACTCTAGAGTATGAAACTGAACTCATGACCTAAAGTTTTAACTTGCAGGGGCTTTCTTTGACATGTACATTGGAGATCTCCCCGTGTGCGAACAAACTAAAAAAGACATCGGCATGAACGTTGCGAATATTATTAGGAGGTGCTAAACTGATTCATTTTCTATCCAGTTGTCCTACTTTTAAAATGGACAATTGGACACGGGTGGCATGGCATATACCCTAACTTATAGTAGAATCATTGGTTTCGTGAAATTGATTTAAACCTGCATTCAAAATCATATGCAGGCATTACTTTTCACGGTTTGCCTTTTGAATCATAGAAGTCTTTAGGATACCTTAAATTGAAATGTCATAGAGCAAAGTACGATAGTACAAGTGGTTTGTCACTCATTTGTGTTCCTTAACCAAAGATCGATATTCAATCACTGGCCTGGACAGGGAATTGCAATTGAGATTACCACTTTATATATATAGAAGTCGAATCCGTGAAAAGGAGTTACAGAAAATTGGAATTCTTATTTTTTATATCATTATATTCATCTTCTTAATGTCCGTATCCCTCTTGTTAGATGTATACTTATATTTTAAATAATGAAAGGAAAAAAAAATGCAGATAAAAATGTTTGTGCCTGTTTGCTCAAGCAAATAAGTATATGCTACCTTTATATTCAGTATAGTAATGCATTCAACTAGCTTTATACAATCGGGAAAAGCTATACAGAGTATCCATTATATTCTTTTGACTTTGCAGCATTTCTGTATGAGATCGCTTTAATTTCGATCATTGGAATGCGTAATACAAGGTTGAATTTATGCGGTAATATTTCTCTTGCAATATTGTTACGGTGCAACGGCTAGGTCATTGAGATCCCTCGATCATTCTTATGCAAAGTGTACATGACCATTTAGGTAATTACCTGAGATGGTTCCCGAAGCGAACAAGGTAGGGGAAATTTCTACGGCTGACAAGGTATGTAATTTCCCTTGCATCAGTAAAATTTTCATCTCAAAATTCGTTGTTTTCATATCAACTAGATTTGTTAGGTGGAGTAAATCACCATTCTCGGACTTTGTAAGATTTAAATTAAAAATTCCTAACTCATAAAAATTCATTTTAGTTCCGTTAGCTTACTAAAACTGTTTATCACATTAGTCCCTGCAAGTTAAACGGCAAATCTGTCAAGCAGGAAATACCAAATGATGTCATTTTTCAGTTGGGAGAAAAATTAAACAATTATTTAAACTTGGTTAATGAAGTATAGATCTATAAAGCAAAGAAGAAAATAACTCACTTAACCCTAAGGCCTAAACCTTTGGTTGACCCTGATTTGATCATTGCGGTGTTTCTTCCATCATTTATTCAAGTTTACGTCGAACTTCTTGGTGGAGAGAGGTACAAAACCTTGTGTGTTTTGAATGACGTTTTTAGCGCACGTAACCTCGTTAAAAGGAAAAAAAAATGGTAAACTTGCCTGTGAATGGGACTAAGTGGACGCATTGCTCGAATATATATGATATTGATATGCTTGATGTTGTTAGTATATTAAATATCTGTAAAGATTTTGGACACCATTATGTATGAAATTTTTATGTTTATTGCTTGGGATCAAGGAGTAAATGCGGAATCAAGATAATCAAGGTTTTTTTTTTTTTTCAAATAAACAAGGAGTTATTAGAAGTGAAGCCAATTTTTTTACAGTGAAGTCATAAGCTAAAAGCCTAATTAACATATATAAATATATATATATATACAGAGAGAGAAAGAGAAATATTATAGTACCTACATTATTCGAGAGGGTACCGATAATTATAATTTTATTTTATATTTTATATTAATAATTTATTTAAATATTATTTATGATATTTTATTTTTTTAATTTTTAAATTATTTAGTCATTTTATTTTTATTTTATATATTCTAATTTTATTTGTAATAATATTATTATATATTTAAATAGTTTAATTTTAATAATTTTTAAGTATATTTTTATCTTTTCACTTAAAATATTTGAATTTCTATATTTTAATTTGAACTATTTTTTAAGTATATTTTTGT